GTAATGTAAGGTAAGGTAAGGTAATGTAAGGTAAGGTAAGGTAATGTAATGTAAGGTAAGGTAACTATTTAGGTAACCATTGTTGTTTATTTGTTGATAAACAGATGACGTTTCCAAGGTAACATAACAATGAAGTTACACTTTTTCCTTTCCCAGGTAACATAACAATGAAGTTTGACGTTTCCTAGGTAACATAACAATGAAGTTGCACTATTTCGTTTCCCTTTTTCGTAACATTTTTGCTGAATGACACTGACCCTAAAATATAGACGTATTTACGTCAAAATCACGGACCGGGTGGGCGGAGAACACCAAGAAAACTGCCAGTCCACTAGAAGACGAAGACACGCAAAGACCTTCCTCATTTAGCCCTCTGCCAAAGAGCACTGTCGAGTTCTTAAAGGTAAACAGAATCAATCGTAAACAAAGGACAGGCCGGCCAACAATGTCACCTGACGGGACTCCATTCGAAATTTGGGATACAAGACAGCTCCATCCATGGATAGTGCAAGAACGAAATTGAAATAACTTCATATATCATGACATTGTGTGGCCTTCGCAGAAATACATTTTCTTCATTTTAACATGCATTCCATGAAGCCAAGCGTCAACCACGAAGTCCCTTTATGATAGATATTGTGCTTAACATGGAGTTAATAACTGTGAGTCAATTTTTTGGAAACACAAAAAATTAGGAAATGCTAATGGTGCAGGGGAAAGTTATGCGCCCACTACATTTATATACATTTATTCACACAAAAGACTGTTCTACTCACAACTGCTGCCCTGATAATGCCAGCGTGAATATATCACCACACGTTCACAGTCGCGTAGCATAATTCAGGATTCATTCTGTTTCCAGCAAGGCCATCAGTCATTAAAGCCAGTTATCTCAGAAATTTGTCTCGTCATACATAAAATGTCAAGCATTTGTGGAATGTTAATTTTAACCTCCAAAACGTTACGGATTCTAATTCACGAAAAAATTTAGTAAATAAATAAATTTGTATTGAAATATATTTATTACACCCATTTTTCATATTAGGAAACATCTTAAAAAGCAGTCGTTTACAACTACAATACAATACAATACAATAATGCAATAATAACTGTACTTACCTCTAAACGGCAAATTAATTGGAAGAAGCCCGAAAAAACGCATAACGACAAAGAGTGGTTTAAGCTGATTATGAAAGAACTCATTTGAAACATCAGCATCTGTCGAAATGCCGGTTGGAGCGCTCAATTCTGATTTGCCAACGTAAAACTTCTTCCTGTTCTCTGAGATTATTGCCAAAGGGTCTTGCAGACCTACATGAAATATTTCTGCTGGTAGAATGTGATTCGGTTTTGAAACCATGTTTCTCTCTACTGAAATTTCGTTAATAGCTGAAACTTGTTCTTTACATTTGCTATCAGTATATATATGCGTTACTCTATATTAATAACAGTATTAAATCAATAGTTTGATATTTTCAATTTAACAGAGAAGTAACAACACTATTCGAAAGATAAGATCATACACTGGGTAATTGCTCTGTTAGTATTAATTTGAGTAAATGTGTTTATGGCCGCTATTTCACATAGATCGAATCATTTCCTTATTATGTTACACGTTTTAGACAAAGACCCTATTAATTTGAAAGAAATTAATATTTATAATCCAAGAGAAATCATGAAGTGTCTAGCGACGGACAGAACGCTCAGGATTCGATTCCCTGTGCAGAAAATAATTTATGTATTCATCTCCTCGAGAATTCTCCAGAAATGTAGGACCTGCAAATCCTTTTTCAAGTTCCGGCGAGTTTTGGGCATCCACTCGTCATGAACACGTGGGCCTGCGAGCATAAGCACGTTTATCGATAAGTCTGTATTTTAATTTAATAAATTATAATGTAGTTCATTATTGTAGCGACAAAAACATCCTTACCTCTCCGGAATATTTTTTTAAGTTTGACC